GGGACGGGCGGGCTGCGAAGCAGACGATCGGGCGGACCCCAACGGGCGGATCCGTCGGGCGACCCGCGAGCGGGCTTTCGAAGCAGCAGAACGGGCGGAGCCTGACGGGCGGATGCGTCGGGCGGCCCGCTGGAGCGGGCAGGTCGTGCGGGCGTGGTGTTCCCATCGGGCGAGCGGGGTCGGACCTCCACGGGCGGGGCGGGCTGGCGGGCCCTCGTGGGCGAGTCGGGCGGGCGGGTCCCAACGTTAGGTCGGGCCTGTCCTCATACAGGGGGATGTCGGACGACAAATCGAAGAGCACTCAAGAATTGCCCCAAAAAATGTCAAACATAGTCGAAACATCGTCCCCATATTATTTTTCACTATTTTTGAATTTTCCCCCTGTAGAGGGACACGCCCGACTTACTCCTAGTGGGAGGGTGGGCGGGCCCCATCGTGGAGGCCGGGAAGGCGGGACAGAAAGGAAACAGCGTGAGGACGTCTCGGGCGAGAGCGCGGGTCTTCAGTAGAGTGCGAGGACGTACCGGGCGGAATGCGATTCCAGGAGTGCGCTTTTCAAAACCCATCGTAAAGAGGGCCCAAGCGAGAGCACGACTCCTGAGCGTCGAGAGCGCGGTTCGTTAAGAAATCATGAGGACGCCTCAGGTGAGTGCGCGGTCCTTGAAAAACAGATTGGTGCATCTCGGACAAGATCGCGAGTCCTAGGTAGGTGCGCTAGGAAATCCCTGGCGCGAGCCGTTGTTGTTGGAGCCGGGGGCCCCAAGCGCAGTCTGAGTTTCAAGACGTGCTGTGACAAACGAAACAGGGTGCGAGGGCCAAGGGGCGGGAGGACTTCAATTGAGAAATCCGCCGACCCTGTCGGCGTGTGTGAGGGGCTTCGTCCGTTCGGGTCGCCATCTCCGTCATTCGTTTGTCGTCGTCTCTGTCGTCCTATTCCCCCCCTTTCCCAAGGACCGCCTCAACCCGTCATTCGTTTGTCGTCGTGGCTGTCGTCCTCTTCCCCTCCTTTCCCAGGCGTTGAGGAACGCCGCAATGGAGTCGAAGGGAAGCCCCTTCCCTTGGATCCCTCCCCCGCCGGGGGGGGGAGGTAGGGGGGGGGATCCTGTGGGGGGGTCCCGGGGAGGGGGATACGACGCTCTCCTGGGGATTCCCGGAGCTCAAAAGAGTTCCAAAAAGGGCCAAGTGTGGTCTAATATGCCCCACAGACAGTCCACGAGAACCCCGACTCGCCCGACGATCTGTCCAAGACGCCTTCACGGCTTCCAGACGGCCCAAGAGGCCTGCAAGACGCCCCAAGAGGCATCCAGGAGCTTTCCCACGAGAGCCCCGAGAGGCAAACACCGTAGATTTCCCGTACGTTTTTGCAGGATTCTAGCGCTCTTGCCTCTGACGTTTGCCAACGCGCCAAGACGGCCCAGGAGGCCCCCAATATCGCCCCGAGACACCCCAAGAGGCGCCCAAAAGCGTCCCCTAACGGCCCAAGAGGGCCCCAAGACGGCCCAAGACGCCTCCAGGACGTCCCCAGAAATCCTCGGAGGCTTCCAGAGAGCCCCCCCAAAAAAGACAATGAAAAATGAAACATCGACTCGAACCCCGATCCTCGATCCTCCTCCTCTTCCTCCTCTGCCTCCTCATCCTCATCCTCCTCCTTCTCTGTTTCCCCCTCGCTCTTCGTCGTTTTTCCCCCGCACCACCCTGAAACCTGCATGAGCCTCCCAGAACCACCCCCCCCTCTTCCCTCGGCCCACCTCCTCAAACGCTCCAGCCAGAGGAGAATCGAACAACAGCGTAATCGACTCGAAGGGGACCCCGTTCCTGTAATCCCTTCCCCACGAGAGAGGGAGGTCCCGGTGGAGGGTAAGAGGGAGGAGAAGATCCCGCGGGGTCCCTGGAAGCGTCCTGCGAATCGTGACCCCCCCCTCCCCCTTCTCCGATCGAGAACGCCCAAGAGAGCCCCAGGAACACCCCAAGAGAGGCCGAAGAGACGGAAAACCAACCCACATTTCAAGCTCCCCACTCCAAGAGGATACCAGGAGGTCCCGAAATCGCCCATGTTTTTTCGCCTGCTCGACTTCCAAGCTTCATACACTCCACGTCGGCCGCAATTGCCTCCGAGAGCTCCCCAGAACGGCCCAAGTACACGCCAGCATGGCCCGGGAAGGCCCCAAAACGGCCCAAAGGCCCCCCAGGACAGCCCAAGAGGGCCCGGGAAGGCCCCAACAAGGACTCGCGATCGTCGTCGTCGCCGTCGCCGTCGTCGTCGTCGTCGTCGTCGTCGTCGTCGTCGTTCACGTCGGCGGCATCGGCCATAAGGCCTTCGCAATAAACGCTATGAGCACCCGTGGAGGCGGGTCTCCAGTCGGAGGTTGGGGGGGGCACCAATCGGAGGTCACCGGAGACGACGCGAATCGCAAACGAAAACCTGCACATGCCCCCTCCAACCTCATGATTACGGCTGGTTCGCGTCGCGATGTCGCGGGGGGCGATTTCTGATGCCGCGTGAATCGTTCAACCTTGAACGATCGCGGCTCTCCAATAGCGCAAATCGTTCGACATCGGCCATTTCTGCGCCACTGGCGGCGTTTCATCCTGACGCCCGCGCTGGGGTCGCCACCGCGTCAACGCGGCGCAAACCTACCGTACCCGAACGGTGGGCTATAGGGACCATGCTTGTCATCAGAAGCGACAGCTCAACGACAATCGTCTCAACACTCTTAGTCATCGCTTGCTCGCGTGCCACGCCGCATGTACAACCCGCCCTCTTCGTTTGTGAACTTAACGCCTTTGGGTGGCTCCTCTTTTCATGCCGGCTACTGGCCGAACCCTGGCAGCGTAGGACAGGCGGGTCGGAAGGGCGGACCCCGAGGGGCGGTTCGGACAGGCAGGTCGGCATGGCGGTCTGGCAGGGGCGGCTCATTCAATTGCAAGGACGTCTGGAGCGAGAGCGAGATTCCTGAAATAATTATAACAAGTATCCAGCGGGAGCCGTTGTTGCTGTGGCTGGAAGAACGATATGGGTGGGTCGCGGAATGGGTCGCGGGTGGGTCGCGGGTGGGTCGCGGGCCGGGTCGTGGGTGGGTTGCAGGCCGGGTGGCGGGTGGGTCGCGGGTGGGTCGCGGGCGGGTCGCGGAGTGGATCGCGTGTGGGTGGCGGGTGGGTCGCGGGCGTGTCGCGAGTGGGTCGCGTGCTGGGTCGCGGGCGTGTCGCGGGCTGTGTCGCGGGAGGGACGACGACAACAAACAACAACAATCAACAACAAAAACAGCAGCAACAACAACAACAATCATTTCAAGACTATTCGCTCTTATCTGCCCGCGTGCTTTTCAACACGTATACCCTATTCCTCGATACCCGACCTCTTCGTCTTCGATCGTGTCCCCTCAGGGGTCTATCTTTCTTACCTGCAATACGTATTTCGTGCAGACCCTAGGACAGGGGAAGCGAGGACGGATGGAAGTGGGCTGTGTGGGCGCGCTTGGGGCCTCTGTGAGCTGTGTCGGGGGCCTCGGTGGGCAGCGCGCTGGGGCCGCTGTGGGTGAGCTTGGGGCTTCTGTGGGCTGGGGCCTCTGCGGGCGTGGTTGGGGCCTCTGTGGGCTGTGTTTGGGGGCCTCAGTGGGCAGCGCGCCAGGGCCTCCGTGGGTGGGCGCGCTTGGGGCCTCTGCGGGCGCGCTTGGGACCTCTGTGGGCTGCGCGCCAGGGCCTCCGTGGACAGCGCCGTGGGCGCGCTTGGGGCCTCTGTGGGCTGGGGCCTCTGTGGGCTGTGTCGGGGGCCCTCAGTGGGCAGCTCGCTGGGGCCTCTGTGGGCGCGCTTGGGGCCTCTGCGGGCTTCGCCGAGGCCTCCGTGGGCAGCGTGCTGGAGCCTCTGTGGGCGCGCTTGGGGCCTTTGTGGGCTGTGCCGCAGGGCCTGCGGGCAGCGTGCTACGGCATCTGTGGGCTTACTCTGGGCCTCTGTGGGCTGTGTCGGGGGCCTCAGTGGGCAGCGCGCCAGGGCCTCCGTGGGCGCGCTTGGGGCCACTGCGGGCTGTGCCCGGGGGCCTCAATGGGCAGCGTGCTGGGGCCTCTGTGGGCACGCGGGGGCCTCTGTGGGCTGTGTCGGGGGCCTCAGTGGGCAGCGTGCTGGGGCCTCTGTGGGCACGCTTGGAGCTTCGGCTGTGTCCGATGGCCTCAGTGAGCAATGTGCTGGGGCCTCTGTGGTTCGGGGGCCTCTCTGGCCAGGGCGTCTGGGAGTCGCAGCGGGGGCCTCCGGCACCGTTCTCTGGCCAGGGGATCTCGACATACAACTTGAGGAAGTATCGAACGGGAGCCTTTGTCGTCGTGGCTAAGCCTCCACCAACGTGACTGAATTACGAGGACGTCTTAAGCGAGAGCGCCGATTCTTAGTTCGAAGGCCTCTCTGGCCAGGGCTCTCGGACTACTTCTTGAGAAGTATCGAACGGGAACCCTTGGGCCTCCACCAACTTGACTGAATTGCGAGCACGTCTCAAGCGAGAGCGCCGTTCTTGAGTCCGAGGGCCTCTCTGGCCAGGGCTCTCGGACTACATCTTGAGAAGCATCGAGCGGGAACCCTTGTCGCCGTGTCTGGGCCTCCACCAACTTGCCTGAATTACGTGGAAGCATCGAGCGAGAGCGCCGTTCGTGAGTTCGGAGGCCTCCCTGGCCAGGGGCTCTCGGGGTAAATCGTGAGGACGTGTCGAGCGGGAGCCATTGTCGCTGCAGCCGGGCCTGCAACAACACACATGTACAATCAAGCCAGCGCTCGAGCGGGAGCCTCGTTTTCAAAGAATATGTAGCCGGCGTCGAGGCGAGAGCGCGCGGGAATACTTGCGGAGATCAGCAATAATTTGTCTCTGGAAATGAGTATTCAATTCGCACCGCAGAACCTCACTTCAGCCACGTGGCCAGGGACAGTAAATAAACGTTCGGCCCCCTCACACTGATAGAATGCGAGCGTCGACGGCCGCCCTGTGACAGAATAACTAATCGGTATTGTGTTCTCCTTTTTGTCTTCCGAACCCTTTCCCTATCCATCCATGTTGGGTGGCACTTGCACTATGCACAACAAAACAAAAAAACACACCCCTGCTCGCCTGTACGCGTACCCGCACTGTGGGTCGCAAAACCCTTGTTGGGTTGGACCTCCTGGCAGGAAGCTAGTATTACTGAGATCCTACAACGCACCTCATGGGCTCAGCCGCATGACTCTGCGTGACTGAAGATACGAAACAACACAATTGCTACACCCCTCTGGCAATCTTTCCTGAACAAGAGCAAAAAAGTAAAGGGTCGGAAGAGCGGGAAAGAGTGAGAATGTGAAAGGAGGTTGGACACGGCGACGAGGTAGGGATGGGACTAATCGAGAAACTAAAAGTAACGCGTGCTTGCCAGCATTCCTGGCAACTAGACCCTCGCACGCACCAAAAAGCGACACACGCCGCACGACAAACAGTAAATTCACCCCTCGTGGTTGCTTCCTGGCTCAGGAGGAACTGTGACGCCACGACCACCAGACAAGCGAGCGGGCACCCTGCGGGAGGCCGCGCGAGTGCGGCCCGGAGGCAGGCGGGCATGCCCGCTGCCGCCAGGCTCACTGCGCCTGCGTTGGGCTGTCGCCGCTGTACGCGCCCGGCGCTCAGTGGGCCAGGGCACCCTGTCTCAGCTGCCTCGGCATGCCCCACAGTGGGACCGGCCCGGCCAGCAGGCCGGGGGGGGGAAGGGGGGCCTCCCACACCTCAGACGTCGCGATGTTCTCACGCTGCGTGGCTCCCGGAGGACCGGGCCCCTGGCCCGGGACCGTCTTTCCATCCCGAACCCCGAGTCGGCTTTGGACGGGCCGCTGGGGACCCGCCGAAGCCGCAAACGAGGGACGGGCCCGGCGAAAGGGGGGATAGCAAGGGGGGGGTGAGAATCAGCTTACGTAGCTGATTTTCCAGGCGCCTCCCGGCGCCGGGAGGCGCCCAAGTATCGAGGAATGGGCCCGGCGGTGGGGCCGAAACCAGCTGCATCCAGCAGATTTTGTGACACCCCATTTCTCTATTCGCCCCCTTTCGTTCAGCCCGAACGACGCCAGGAGGGGTCCTGCTCGCAGGTCACCGAGCTTCGCGCCATCGTCCTAACCCTCTAGGACGGCGTGGCGTCAGAGTAAAATTCATTGCTCCGCCGTCGGGGACGCCTGTCCCTGGGCGGCTGGCGAGCTCATGCCGCCACGTGTCGCCGGAGGAGTAGAAACGTTCCAGCCGCCCTGGGACTGGCGTTCCCGATGGCGGAAGCGCTTCTCGCTTACACTGTACTGTTGTTCGCCCGACAGGAGTAGCGGAACAAGTAACGACACAAGCTGACCTCTGGACTCTTAAGACCATATGTGATTAGTATTAGTGTAGTATTCCTATTCATATTCATATGGTGATTATTCGGCCATCGCCGGCCGGCCAAGAGAAGGCAGGATCAAGCAGCATCGAATCGGGAAATCGTGCGCGTCGGATCTGCCTACACAGGCACGGAATCGAACTCGAATCGGGCTGGCCGCGCCAGGATGCACAACAACGCCATGCAAAAATCGGGCCGCATTGGACCGCCGGAACATCGTAACCGAGTCGGATCGGGCCAGCCGATCCCGATATCGAACCAGATCGATCAAACTGGGCCATGGGCGACTCAAGCTTCGAGACATGCCTCTGCTCTCAGGCGGCCCTGGGGGACGATCCCGGCACCCCTAGAACGCACTCGGCGAGGCAAAGCTGCTTGATCCTGGGACGTATCCCGAGGCTGAGAAACCACCGAGAACTTACGAAAACGCTCGAAACCCACAGACAACTCAGTCGTCTGCTGCCTCGAACCGAATCGATCGGATCGAAACGTGTTCTTGGAAGTCGTGTGGGGCTCTGACCTCCGGACCCTCAGTGCCACTGCCACTGCCGCGCCGCACCGCCAGAACTGTCGGCGCAGCCGGCAGCGGCGGCGGAGGAGGACGGGGAGGAGGAGGAGGAAGAGTTTCTTTTTCAACACAAAACAACGAAGATTATGAACTCCACCCGCACGACTGGATGGCTATGCCGCAGCGTTAGGTGGAGAGGCGACTGGCCGTCGTCGAACCGCATGCAGTACTCTCCAGAACAGCCTTGAAACAGAAAGGCAAGACAAGCACCTGAAAGTGAGCCGCAGGAAGAAGGGCGACAGGCTGCACGCGACACTCGGCATCCATGCATGTCGTCTTTCAAAGGCGAGGGAGGGGAGCGGGGGAGAGGATTGGGAAGAAAAACCAATGAAGGATACATAGGAAAGAGTAGGGGAGGGAACGAGGCGAAAGGATGGGGGCCACGACTACAGCGCAGTGCACAGTATCTTAGGACAATTAGTCGCACGTGACATGTCCCTGCGTGGCAGCTGAACTGTCCCTAGGTGGCAGCTCAACTGTCCCTGCGTGGCAGCAGGAGAAGCGAGAATCCCTGGCGCAGTCCTCTCTCCCGCCTAGGGCGCCCGCCGCACCGAACCCTTCAGGCTCTCGTAGATGATGCCCAGGTGGTCGGCGGATGCGACGCGGGCCAGCTCGTCGGCGTCGTCATCACGTCGAGGGAAGCAAACAATTGGGCTTCATCAGCTGGGAGCGTGCCGTCACCGTGAAGCGCCGGGTCGCCCTCGTAGACCTCGACGTACGGCGCCATCAGCTCCACTGGAACACGTTGCACCGCGGTGGTATGTAGCACCTCAGCATCGTTGCGATAGCCACCATCACCGCCCTCCCCCATCGACGCTGGGAGCGGGTGTTGTAGATCCATCGCTGTGGTCGCGCCGAAGCCGTCGTTGTGTATTGGGGCCTAGCCGTTCTCCGCGCGCGAAAGCTCGTACTCCCCTGGGTCGGCGTGGTCGTGAAGGGCCAGGGCGGCGTTCTGCCGAGCACGAGAGGAGAGCTGCACCGCAAGTAGACCGCTCCACTGGACCGCCAGGTGCCACGGGCGCTGTCGTGGGACTCGGAGAGGGTGGGGTTCCAACAAGCGCAAGGTCGGGGTGTTCGCCTGCGTGGCCCCGCGAGCCCAAAGAGAAGTGCTGCTGAGGGGAGACTGCACCGCTTCTAGTCCGCTCCGCCCGACCGCCAGCATGCACACATGCGTCACCAGGGGCACCAGAGCGTGTGAGATCGCCAAGCCAGGGTGAGCACATCACCATCGGCACCAGCAGGAGCGAGGTTCAGTGAGATCGCCGCGGGCGACGTGCTGCATGGCTTCGTGTGAGTTCGGGTGAACCTGGAGGCGGACCGCCATCGCTGCCGAAGGTGTGCGCGAACTCAGAGTCCGACGTCGAGCAGGAACCCATGGTGCGTGCTGGTGTGGGCCAATTCCGCGATCTCACCCATCGCCGCGAGGTCTGCGTCAGCAAGCGAAGGGCGTTCAGGCACATCTCCAGTTACGAAACGAGCCGACGTCGTCACCACCGAGGGGAGCTCGAATCAAAGCGCGACGATGCCGAGCTCCTCCATGCTTGGCGTGTTGGTCAGCGAGGGGTTGATGTCGGGAACGCTGGGGGCAGGACGATTCATCACCTCGCGCAAGTCCCTCGCTCTGAGATGGAAGGCGATTCTCTGGATTGGGACTGCGCGCAAATACAGCTTGCGGCAGTGGCTCATTGCTCTCAGCCAGATGCATCGGGGCATTTGGTGATCGTGAGGGAGTTGCAGGCGGATGTGCCTGCGGAGCGTTTCGCGCGGAACCGCCGAGGAACACCGGGCTGCTAGACACATCTCCTCTGCCGCTTGCTGGCGCTGCGAAGCCCCACGTATACAACTAGAACTGAAGCCTGCTGCGAACTGGTCATGGTGGAGGAGGCCGTACACGTAATTGGTGCAGCAGTCGAATCGGGTGTGGGAGTCGTCCCGAGGGGTCGCATAGAAGATGGACGGCAGCCAGTCTGCGGCCCGCATCGGGACCCTGTCGGTGAGCGTACTGCGCGCACTCTCAGCATCCTGAGCTGGATCTTCAGGATTGGGGTCACCCCCCTCCCGCGCCAAGACAGGCGATTTCTCCCCATTCAGCGGAGCCAGACTGGCGGCTGAGGAAGTATGGGATAAGCCGCAGGATGGGGGCGCAGAAGAAGATGAGTCCGAGGTCTAAGAACACACACAATATCGCTGAGAATCTCACTCAGAGAGCCGTGGTCGCTGCTCGGAGCCGACGTCGAGCACGTAGACGATGAGCTCGACGAGCTCGAAAAATTTAGTGAAGCTCGGAGACCCTGCCGCGGAGCCGACTGAACAGGAAGGCAAGCATGGGAGGTCGCGCCGAGAAGTGCTGTGCGGAGCCCAGCTTTGACATGCGACGCCACGACATCGGAAGACCGGCAGCCAGAAGGGACAGCATACGAAGCCGAGGTACACGTTTGGCGCATGACCACGATGCCCACGACGTGCCCAAGACAACCTTATCCAGCAGGAGGAGGAGGAGGAGGAGGAGGAGGAGGAGACGGAGAAGGGATGAGGAGGAGGATGGGGACGAGGAGGCAGGGCGCGGAGGAAGAAGAAAGGGATGGATGGATTGATGGCTGGCGGCCGCTGTGTGCACTGAGGAGTGTCATCCTCCTCCTCCTCATCATCAGCATCAGAATCATCATCACCCTCATCCTCATCCTCGTCCTCATCACCATCACCATCATCATACCATGATCAGAGCCATTCATCATGAGCATCATTATTAGCACGGCTACCACCATGACCATCAGCATCAACATCATCATCAATCTCATCATCACCACCATCAGTATTAGCATCATCATCACAGCCATCATCACCGGCGCAATAATCACCATCATCAGCATCATCATCACCATCACCACCACCATCACCATCATCAGGCTCACCATCAGGTGCATCATAATCATCATCATCATCATCATCATCATCATCATCATCATCATCATCATCATCATCATCATCATCATCATCATCAAAACCACCATATATGACCGTCATCGCAATCATCATCAGCATCATCACCACCACCATGATCATCAGCACCACAATCATCATCATCATCAGCATCACCACCATCACCACCATCATCAACAGCATCCTTATCACCACAACCACGATTAGTCTAATCATCATCATCGTATCATCATCATCGTCATCATCAGCATAATCATCATCACCAACACCATCACCATCACCATCCTCCTCCTTGTCCTCATCATCATCACCACCACCATCATATCGGGGAGTAGGAGGAGAAGCAGGAGGAGAAGCAGGAGAAGGGGTAAGAGGGAGGAGGAGGAGGAGGAGGAGAAGGAAGAGGAGCGCCACTGCCAAAGATGAGAAGGGCGGCAAAGAGCACGAACGAAAAGAACGACGCCCGTCCAGGGGCAAGAGAAAGGCGCGAGTCGGGCGGAGAGGAGCACTACGCACACAGTGCGAGGAGGCACGCGGGCAAGCACAATCTATGGAGTCCAACTGTTTGCCCGTGTCCGTATTCTTGCGCCTGTCCATATCCTTGTCCTTGTGCCACGCCAGGTTCTTGTTGTCGACATGGTCTTCTACACAAGCGTCGCCACGGACGCCGCCAGCACCGTGTCCATGATGGAGCCGGGTCGCCCTGTCGGCCAGGACGGCCGCACTGCCACTGGAGCCTGGCACGACTACGCAATCGACGTTGATCGCCATCTTGTCGAGGATCGACTGTGCCAGGGTCATGATGGGATCCATGTCACACGCTGGAATACCATCTGCACCACCACCAACAGAGGGGGGAGCAGGAGCACTAGGACCAGCATCTGGGACACGACCCCAACCACCTTGAGCACCATCAACTTCATCTTGACTATCAAAATTGTGGCGGCTGAGCTCGAATGCGATCGGCTTGAACAAGAGCGCCGCCATCGCCAGGAGCAGGTAATGAAAAAGCAAGCAATGGAGTAGCGACGAGGCTGAAGTGCGATTCACCCTTGGAGTTCTGATGGCCGTGGTCTACCACCATAGCGCTGTCGAGGTCTATCAGCATCGTTCGCAGCAAGCCGATCCGATCCAAAGGCCATTGCGCACGGAGCTGACGGACCTCAGCAGCAAGCAGACCTTGACGATCACCTTGTCACCCTCGCGGAGCCTTGGCGACCGCCCTCCAATTCACGAATCGCCCACTGCAGGCTGGCTGCGGACACTATCTTGGCGCCATGCTGGAGGCGGGGGGAGCGAAAAAGGAAGGGCGCGCGGGGCTGCAGGGGCAGTCCGATGACCGAATCTCAGGCACGTACCTGACCCAGAGTGGCTGAGGAGAAGGAAGAGGAGGAGAAGGAGAAGAAGGAGGAGAAGGAAGAGGAGAAGGAGTAGCAGCGGGAGGAGGAGCGGGAGGAGGAGGAGGAGGAGGAGGAGGAGGAGGAGGAGGAGGAGGAGGAGGAGAGGGAAGGAGCAGTGTGCCCTTGGAGGTCGTCTGGGGCCCCGGCCTCCGTGCCCTCACTGCCACTGCCACTGCCGCGCCGCACCGCCAGCCGCGCGGCCGCTGACCTGGCTGGGCATGGCAAGTGGGGCCGTCGTCGCCCCCACCGCCGCCGGTGCCCCGACAGACCCGCAGGTCGTCCACGTTCTCCTCCTCCTCGTCCTCCTCCGCGTCCTCCTCCTACTCCTCCGTCCTCCTCCCTCACCCTACCTCCTCCTGCTTCTCATCCTCCACCTCCGCCCCCTCCTCCTCCTCCTCCTCCTTCTCCTCCTCCTCCCCCTCCTTCTCCTCCTCCTCCTCCTGTCAGCCGCGACCCTGGCACCCATCCTTTTGTTGGATGGATGGCCACTGGGGTCAGGCGTGTAAGGGCGCAGTCCTCGCCAGATGATACTGTACACCCCCACGACATGCGGGCAACGGCCCCTGACCCAGGCGGGGGGTCAGGGTGAGAAAAAAGAGAGAGGAGCGCAACAGCGCGGGCAGCCCAGGCAGGCGGGTGAGAAGGGGGGGGTTGGCCTGAGTGGTGGGTGAAAATTTGAGCCCTCGAGGGGGCCCTTTAGGGACTCGCTTGGAGCCAGCAGGCGCCGAAAACGGGCCCGCACGGGCCCCTTTCAAGGCTCGTCTCTTCACCTCCCACGCAGGTCACCCCCCCAATACCACCCGACCGATAGCCCTCACCCCTTCCTTGGACGTCTATGGTCAACTTCGGCCTCCGTGGGCCGAACTCGATCGGGGGCGTCCACACGTGATCTGGGATGAAGAAGATGCCCCTGGGGAGCGACGTCGGGACCTCTGGGACCGCAGGCTGAAGACAAAGAAAGAAGTCCGATGTCTAGGATTTGCTCAACGGCGCATCGTGCAGCGCCCGCGCATAGAATGAACCGTAAAAGCCAGCCGATGAGCAGCATGCCGAGACGCTGGAGAGCGAGACAGCGAACTACCCAGACAAAACAAGGAAGAGGTCCGCGAGGACCTCTTCCGTCGGCGCTGCCTTCGCCGCCGGGGGCGGCACCTGCTCCTCCTCATTGGCTGCCTCCCCAACCCTCCTCAATCTCGTAACCCTACTGCTCCTCCGTTTCCTCCTCCTCCTCCCGTTAATCCTCCTCCTCATCATCATAATCGTCGTCGTCATCAACATCATCGGAATCATCATCAGCATCACCATAACCATTATCATCAACATCATCATCACCAGCATCAGCATCATCATCAGCATCATTCCCTACCTAGGCTCTGCCTAGAAAGGTTCTTACTCTGAGGCTTAAAGGACCGGGCAATGGAATGCGCCCTGGGCGGTTCCCCCGGCATCCGCCCCGCGGTTCCCCCAGTGACGTTCCCTTAGCTTCGCGTTGCTTATCTCATCTTAGCTTAGCTGATTTCATCTTACCTTAGCTTCATCTTACCTCAGTTTTATCTTGGCTTAGCTTGCCTTCATCTTAGCTTCGCTGAGCTTTAGCATAGCAGAGCACAGCATAGCATAGCATAGCGTCGCATAGCATAGCGCAGCATCGCATATCATATCATGGGTAAAATTCCCTATCTAGGCTCTGCTTAGAGGGTTAGCTTAGCTTAGCTTGTCTTAGCTTAGTTATCCTTCACTTCTCCTCTCTGTTGCGTCATTTCTCTCTCTCTCTCTCTGTCTCTGCTCAGTTGTTTTTGGGGGGCCAGTCTCTTTTTGTTGTTCTCTCTCTCTCTCTCTCTACATCTCTCTCCATCTCTCTCTCTCTCTCTGTATGTCCCTTCGTTCCCCTAATTACGTGCCGTTTTTTTCTTCTCCTCCTCCTCTTTGCACCCGTCGTTCTCACTTTGGGTCTAACGTCTCGCTGGCGGGGAGCACGACCCGTCCTCGTCTCCATGGCTGGGCGCGCCTTGCAGAGGCCTGTCGAGGTGGTGTCCAGGAGGGCTCCATAGAACTCGGGGGTGGACAGACCTCCTACCCTGACACGTCGATTAGCGAATTGGCCGCTTTCGGTTCGCGAGAGGGCGTCGCGGCCGTCATTTTTGCGGGTCCAGGTCCGTCGGTTTCGGTCCCAGGCCGTTGTCATTAAGGGGAGGTTTACTAAAGGGAGGTTTGTCCACCGCCGATGAACGATCTCGAGCGGATGTCGGTCGGGACGCGATCCTTGCTGCATCTTGACGCGCGCCACCTTTTCTCGAAGAAGAGAAAGCGCAATAATCATGAACTGTTTGCGCTCTGCGCCAAAGGTTCATGTCTATGGCGTTTTTTCTTCTTTGATTCACTACCTAGGCTCTTCCTGGAAGGGTCCTTACTCTCTTGGCTGAAAGGGGCCGGGCAGTGTAACCCGCCCCGGGCGGTTCCCCCAGTCCCCTGGGAGCCAAGCAAAAGCAACAACAACGGTAAAAGCAAACGCGCGGTTCCCCCAGTTGCGCTCCCTGGGTGCCAAGCAAGAGCAAAAGCAAAGGCAAAAGTGAAGTCAAAAGCGAAGGCAAAGCTAAATCATAGCATAACATAGCATAGCATAGCGCAGCATAGCATAGCGCAGCATAGCATAACATAACATAACATAGCATAGCATAGCGCAGCACAGCATCCACTATTGCTACTGCTCCTACTAATGTTGCTTTTCTAGAGGCTTCAACTCCTAGGTAGGGTCGCACTGGGATAATCATCAGCATGTTTATTGACATCATCATCATCATCAACATCACCATAATCAGAATCATCAATATCATCATCACCAACATCAGCATCATCATCAGCAGCAGCATAAACATCACCATCAGTATCACCATCACCACCACCATCAGCATCAACATCAACATCATCAGCATCATCATCATCAGCATCATCACTACCATCATCATCATCATTATCATCATCATCATCAGCATCATCATCAACGTCATCAGCATCAGCATCAGCATCAGCATCATCATCAGCATTATCATCATCACGATCGTCGTCATCATCACCACCACCACCGCCACAACGACCACCAACGTCATCGTCATCGTCATCGCCATCGTCAGCATCATCATCATCATCATCATCATCATCATCATCATCATCATCATCAGCATTATCAATGTCACCATCACCACCATCATACATATCATCAATCATAGCAACATCATCACCATCACCAACATTTTCATCCTCATCGTCGTCCTCCTCCTCCTCCTCCTCCTCAACATCATCATCATCATCATCATCAACGGCCTCCCCCCATGGGCCGAAAATGGTTAAAGCCCTCAGGCCCTGGAAGGTGAGACCGGCACAGGGGGGGAAACATCGACCTGCAATCGGCGACGGACACTCGATGGCGAACCCGCACGTTCCTGCGCGGAGTGGGCTATCGGGCCACTATCGGCGATCAACGGGTCGATACATCCTCCAATGAGCCTCTGCCCGTCCCTGATGATTTTCGTGTCATGACTTGGGCCTCCGCCGGCCGCTCGGGACAATTCTGGCACCCCCGCCCTCGACGAGGCGCAGCGGATGGAGACCACCCGAGGTCTCGAAGACGCCCGACAACGTGCGAAAACGTCCGAAAACGAACACGTCGAAATGCCCCCTGCGCCTCTTCCGCTGCCCCTGAGCCTATCCTCCCCTAAACGTTGCCCCTGCCCGCTGCTGCCTGTGCGAGGCGTGGACCGGCCTGCCCCAGGACGCTGGCTGCGGAAGTGACGGCAGGGGCACGCTGGCCGCGGAAGTCGGCAGGGAGAGCCCCGAATGCAGGCCCAGTGCAGCTCCGCGACCCTCGGTCCTCGATCCTTCCTCCTCGATCCTCGACTCTGGGTCTACCAACTCGGTAGAGCTGGTCGCACCAAGCCTCTTCGGGGGACCAAGGTTCGATCCTCGATTCTGGTAGCACCAAGCCTCTTGGAGGGGCCAAGGTTATGTCACGATCCTTCCTCCTCGATCCTCGTTTCTGGTTCTACCGAGCCTCTTCGGGGGAGCTTTTGAAAAACCAACGCCAAAGAAGGCCGGCCCCCCAAGAGACCCGCCAGGCGCCCCCCACGAGAGCCCCAGGAGGCCCATAGGAGTATCTGAGCTCAGCCCAGAGGCAACCTCCGAGAAGCCCCAAGAGGCAGCGCAACAAGTATGTAATGCAATGTAGCCCCCAGAAGACCCGCTTGGGCGCAGGCGCTGGCGCCAGCTCGGCGTCGGCGGCGGCTTCCGCGCCGTCGGGATCGGCCCGCGCCCTGCGGGCGCGCGTGCACCGACCGCTCGCTCAGCAGGACGAGGGGGGGGGCACTCACAGAGCAGGAAGAGGAGAAGGAACACATGATGACGGCAAGCAGACCAGCAGAAAGATAAGCACATAAGAGAGGAGGATGAAGAGAGGACGCGGAGGGGATGATGAGGATGAGGAGGGAGGGGAAAAGGTTGCCCAATGTTTCTCTCGTATAGTTGTATGTGTTTCTGTAGGTGTTTATATATTTTTATACATATGTATATGTATATGTAGACGCCTCCTACATCCTACTCTCCGACCCTTACGAAGGGAGGCAGCACGCGAAGCGTACATGAATAAAGAGGCACACTTCATTTAAAGGGAATCGAGACGCCACGGCAACTCGGAGATTCGCCCGCGCAGGCCAACGCCTCGCCGTACAGAGCACATGCATTGACCCTGCGCACTCCACTGATGAGTATCGGACCACCACGGGCGGGTGGGAGCGCAGCGGGGCCAAATGATCACAGCATACATCAAAGCTGTCCTGAAGTCGAGACGATGCTAGATGAGACAACTGGCTTTCCGAAAACCATATGGCAAGCTCTGACTATTTAGGAACGCCTCCTGCATCCGATTCTCCGACCCTTACCAGAGGAGGCAGCGCGCGAAGCGTACATGAATAAAGAGGCGCACTTACTCAAAGGGAATCGAAGCGCCACGGCAACTCGGAGATTCGCCCGCGCAGGCCTCGCCACACTCCCCATTCCAGCGAAGGCTCTTAATTCGATAAGAAAAAAGACTCACTATGCAATCAAACCGCGCCCCACGCTTGGGATCCAACTGCGCAGCAACGGTAGGCGAGAGACCAAACATGTGCAGAAATGTCCACACGCAATCCGGTGAGACTCGCCCCCCCCGGCGCAGGTACTCGCGAGCCGACATCTCGGAGAGCCACCTGCCGAACAGCATGATGTCCGCCAGCGGCGCGCCTCGGCCCATCAGCTCGGTGGCCAACTCGGTGCAGCCCGTGCGACGTCCAGTGAACGGCTCCGAACCCAAGCGCGTCCGCGCCTTCTCTGGGGCCAGCGCTGCAGCCGAGGATGCGACGCAGCACAGATCTTGTCGCCTGCTCTTGAAGGGAAACGTAAGCAGTAGTGATCGAACCAGGCCAAGACGGACGGCTCCTCGAAAAGGACCTTCTGCTCAGCTTCGCGTTTGGCGCGGCCGAGCAGAGCCGCGAAACCCGTGGCGGTCCTGGCCCAGATGCTGCCGTCCAGCGCCAGCGCTACCGAGGCCCGCGGCAGGCCCGTGAAACAGAGCAACACGGCTGCGGCGTAGCCGAACTCCTCGGCCAGGACGAGCCAGTTCACGATCCCGAGGGCGAGCACGGCTGGCAGGGCGGGCGCCTGCAAAGGCGGCCGCCGAGTGCGCCGCGCGTCCAGCGCCTTCCAGGCAGCGCGGTAGCGGTGCCGAGGATTCGCCTTCGAACGAGGCCAGCAGCGTGGAGGCGGCCCCCAAGCCCTCGACGCCTCCCGACTCCTCGAACAGGTCCACCGCGCGCTCGGCCAGGCACCAGTCGAGCTCCTCCTCGGTGAGCTGCTCAACGCCCAGGCCCAGCGCTTTGAGACCAGAGCTGAAATCGATGAGGGCGGCGGCGCACCTCTGGATGTGACGGTCACTGACTTCAGCGCACTCATCAAGAAGGTAATGATGCGCCCACGGCGCCTGCCAGGACCGTCGGTGATGACGCGGCCGCTCCCGGCCCTTCACAAGGGCGCCGATCGCCAGGCGAGCCAGAGCCTGGCACAGCTGCGGAGGAGATCGAGCGAGTTGAGCTGCGACGAACCCCCCCACCACGCGCTAGCCCATAAACTCCTTTGCGCCTATGTCGGTGGTTGCAGCGATGCCCGGGGACTCCCCCAGCCTCAGCGTCATTCGTGGCAATGGGCGTCGGCTTCTGCCACGGGGCCCCGCGTCGACACTGGTCGAACGAAACGACGTGCAGCCCGAACTCTGCGATCCACTCTACGACCTCTCGAGAGCACCAGAACGAAGGGAACGGCTGACGCCCTGGATCCTGAGGGCGCCCCTGGCCTGCCCACCCCCGCAGAGGATGACTCGGGAGAAGAGCTCGAGGCAGAGGAGGAAGAGGTGCGTTCCCTCGCGCGCCCAGCAAGCGGGCGGTGCCTGGCGCCCAGCAAGCGGGCGCCTGCTCAGCGCCCAGCAAGCAGCAAGCGGGCGCCCAGCAAGCGGGCAGCGCCTGGCTCGGCTAACCGTCGAGCAGGGCGGCCCAGCGAAAAAGCCCATCGCGTCGCCACTGCTGCAGATCCCCCTCAGCTCCTGCACCAGGCTGGCGCGCGCGAGGTCGTGGCTGGCATCGATGACAGGGGTCATAGGCTACCGCCGCCACCACAAGGCCTGCCTCGCGCGCCTCCCGCTCGACCACGTCGCAGAGATCGCCCTCGCGCCTGGGCCCCGAGCAGCACAGGTGCAAGTGCAAAAGCCACGCGCCAGACCTTGGCGCGGCGCTTGGGCACCGCTGCCGCCACTGAGCCGGGTTCCCGGCAGGGCGCGCGGGCAGGAGAGCGCGCGATTGGCAGGAGGGGGGGGGGGGGGGGAGGAGAAAGACGGCGACGGCGAGGGGGAATATGGACTGCCGACTCAAAGCCTCGCTGCAATAGCCTGTACACGCAGTGGGCCAATTTCAGCTCGGGGCGGCCGCGTCTCCGGACCAGATGCCACTGCTTTGGTGGATTTGTTCCAGGCGGGCATGCCAGATCTCAAATAGTTGTCGTCTGGCAAAACACAGATTTTCTCATGGGACTGCGCCTGCCACTTGCACAGTGCCTCGCTCAGACGGTCCGCCCGCGCTGTGCTCAGAACTGTGGCATTCGACACCCTGGAATAATACGAATGGGAGATCCTCAATGTTTTTTTGAAGAAGATGCTTGGAAACTGTCTAACCGTGGCCGGTCTGCTTGCAATAGCCACATGGATTCCAGATTGTACAACAGTTTCGGCACAACTATAGCGCCAAATAGCCGTACTTCCCGTATCTTTGAAATACCCGTATGGTTCCATCATGTGTCAGTGCTCTGAAAATCCCCGTGTGCTTCGCCGAGCCGTCTCGAAACCTCTGGCATGCTTTCGGCGCTGCAGTGCAAGAGCCCACCCAAATAGACTGCTTGTTGTACATGTTGGATTGGCTGTAACGCGGGGGCCCGCGTCACACCGTCGTGATTCACTTTCAGTACTACGGTCTTCTTCCAATTCAGATCAAGGCCGCATTGCTTGCCCACTTTGATGGTCAGGGCCAAGAGAAGCTGATATTCAAGAGACCTCGCGCTCACGAGCATGGCGTCGTCCGCGTACAAAACATCATTACATGCCGCGTACTCTGGCTCGACAAAGCCCACGCCCAGTCCATTGAACAACTTGTCGACGTCGAAAAACATCACTGTTTGAACAATAGCGAAGAGGTATGGGGAAAGTGGGCACCCTTGGGCTATTCCTGCTCGCTGCTGCCTGGAACTGGAGTCACCTGCCGTGTCTTTCATGCGGAAGTTGCGGGTTTGTATATAGCAGCGATAACTGCGAGCATTGGTTCTGGAATACCAAACCGCGCCAGAGCTTTGATGATCGCGTCGTGCTTTATCCCGTCGAACGCTTTGGCCCAAAAAATAAAACAGCCACCAGCCCAAGTTCTTTCGAGCATTCCGCAGCGTCGATCATGCGGCGGGCGATAGTGATTGCATCGATTGTGCTGCGCCCTGGTCTGAATCCAAATTGCGCTGGTCGCATTCGTTGTTCTGCTCCTCCACGTTGCAATCGTTTTTGGACCATCGAGGCCACGACTTTGCATCCCACATGTAAAAGAGAGATTGGCCGGTAATTATCAGGTAAAGTTGCGCCCCTTTTTTATAACAAGAGAACCGCCGTTGCAAACCGCCACGCTTCTGGTCTGTTTTTGTGCTCCCAACACTTTTGGCATATCCAACAGGTGATTGCACGCGGTGCTCGACATGCGTGATAATTTCCAGAACTCCGGTGCTATCCCGTCGTGGCCCGCGGCCCTGCCGATCGCAAGGTTCTTCGATGCAATAGTAAGCTCGCCCATGGTGAAGGCGCGCGTAGCAATGGGCAGAGGCGCTCCCAGCGGACCGTCTTCTGGCGGGTGCACATCTGCATATTTAACATCCCACTGCATCTTCTGAAAATACTCAGCACATACGTCTGCTCGTTGATCGCTCTCCACTGGCTCCCCGGCTGTGTTTTTGATCGCAATCGGTGTTTTGCCAGGCGTCTTTCTAAGTGCTTTTGCAGCTGCCCATGACCCCCCTTCCGTTTCGTTTGTCTCGCCGCAAGGCTTTCTTGCTCAATGCGTTCAGCTGCTGCTCGTGCGCTCTGTCTCCAGATTGCCGCGCGCTGTCCCTTTGTTTGAACAACTGCTTGGTGCCGATGGATATCCAACATTTTGACCGGCCATGTTCAGGCGCATCTGCGACTCCGGCTGCTGTGCGCATTGCCTCTGCTACTGCCTCCGCGTGTTCGTCCAATGACAACATCTCGGCATCTCTTTAAAGAGCAGCTGTGAACGCGTCGCAGTACTCCCGGCCAGTACCCAGCGACCTCCGCAGAGCATCCAGACATAATCGTTGACGTTCGGATTTAGCCTCTTGTGTCCCACGTTCAACCTGGAGCCAAATATGCATCAGAAAACGGCGTGTCGGAAGCGCTGTCATCTGTTGGTCCAGATTTCCGCCATCATAGATACATCATTTGAATCGACCATGCAGTAATCCAAGCGTGCAAAAGCTGGATTCGTGACGTCGCTAAGTGGTCCTATTCCTGGAGCGGGGTCGTCATAAGTGACCAAACTTTCACGCAGATGGGAAAAAGCACGCGTTGGCAATGATCGATCGCGTTCCCCAACATGTTTCGATCAGCAGCCCCCTGTTAGAGTTAGGCTTCACTTTCACAACGAACTCCCCCATTACATCTTCTTCTCCAGGAAGCCTCTCCCCA